CAGTGTAAAAGTGTTCCTATTTCTCCATATCTACTCCAGCATCTGTTATTTCTTGACTTTTTAATATTTGCTATTCTATCTGGTGTGAGATGGCATCTCACTGTGGTTTTTGATTTACATTTCTCTAATTACCAATGATGTTGAGGCTTTTAAATATATATGTTTTTTGGCCACATAAATGTCTTCTTTTGAGAAGTGTCTGTTCATGTCCTTTGCCCACATTTTAATGTGGTTGTTTGTTTTTTTTTTCTCGTAAATTTGTTTAAGTGTATTGAATCTACAAGTCTATTCTTTGTCTCTCAAACTGGCACATTTGCCCATTTCTACTGATTTAGTCCTTGTGGCTATGGGGCAATTACTCTTGTATATTAGGATATACTAATATGCTACTTTTCATAGCTTTGAAGTAACAATTTGGATTCAATACAGTGCGCAAAGAAGTTTCCTTAAAAAAAAAATTAGTTACTGGTCTTCTAGTTCAAACTAGTTGTGTTTGGGTAATTCATATATCCTTTCTGGATTTTAGTTTTTCTTCTCTGCAGAATACTACAAATATGTAACCTTTAATTTTCAAATAGTTTAAAATAAAATGACTCTTCATGACATCAGTCATTTATAACTTAGTGTGAAAGATTTTACCTAAGAGCAAGTTTTGATAAGATGTCAACCAATAATTTATTTAATATCACAATGTCATACATTGACATAAGAAGTAATTAAATCTTTCCAATGAACCTGTTGGGGGTATACAGTTATCTCCATTTCATGACTATTTCAGAGAAGTCAAATTAACACAACTAGTTCATGAGATATCTGGTATTCAAAACCAGAACTCATCTTATTTCCAAGCCCGAGTTGCTGTGTTACTCATGGCCTCCTATGCAGGTGCTGAGGTAGAGAAGATTTAGACTTTGGGGGCACTGAAAGCTTGACAATCATTGAAGGAGAAAAAGCACAAAAATTGGTGACTTGAGGAAAAGGATGAGAATATTTAATTTCTTTTAATTGTCATTTATTCCTTGGTCAACTTAACTCTAATTAGTTAACAGTCTAAAAGCAAGTGGGTGGTGAAATGTTTCACTTTTACATTTTTTCATAATATGATTCGTAAGTGAACTGTTTGTGTTGTATTGCATTGTTCCCTGAAGTAACAGTCTTTTAGGAAAACAGAATTTGTACCTAAGCCTGCATACGTGAGGATTTCTGAAATACATCCTTTGTGCATGTCTTCTTATTGCTTCAGTGGTCATAGACATTGTCTGTGTACAGCAAAAGCTTGCTTAAAACTTATCTGTTTGAAATTAGAATGAAAGCATTTTGATGAGTTATCTATGTCATCACCCTTCTCAAATTTCAAATAAGCCTGGGAGAACTGACGTACAGGCAAATTTTATGCAATATAAATATAAGCATCAATATCATAGCGACAATAAACATGAATATATCTATTTTATAGATAGACATAGATAAACGTGTACATGTGTTTGTGGATTTACATTCAATCACACCCACACTATATTAGATGTGTAGCCGAAGTAGAAGTAAAGCAAAATTTTTCAATATAAATTTATTGCAGTTAACCATCTGTGATGAAATTCTCATGGGATTCTCTTTAATTTTTTTATAAATGAGGAAAATGAAATATTAAAATTATAAACACACCCTATTTATAAGCTGTCCTTGTAAATAAGCTGTGATTCTAAGCTTCCATCTGCTGTCTTGCTGAATGACAGAGCATTTGCTTCCACTGCTGCACTTCTGGTCTTTCTTCATTTTCTCAACGAGCCCTGCAATACAGAGGACCAGATAACATGCTCCTATGCTCTGTCAGCTTGTTGGGCAATAAATCATCAGAGGCAACCACATTTGTTTACACCTATTTAAAAGGGTCTCCTGGGGAAAATCTGTGAGAAGAGAAAGTACCGTCAACTGTTTTGTGACTTCATCTCTTACTTCCAAGTCCTTTTATCTTTGTCTTTCATGGGAGTCGGTCTATGCATTATTTGTTTTTGAAGATTATGAGACACCGCAACTCAATTAGTGAGGACCCCAAATCTTAACTCCTATAAGACAAGCTAGAACAAACAATAGTTAGTGACTAAATATTTAATCATATGATAGATTCTTCTGCTCATATTGTCTTATACATTAAAAACAGGAAGACTGTTTGCTCTGACAGTTCTTTGTTTTAATAATCGAAAGATCATTCTAATAGATCATATACAGAAAAGCCATATCTTTACATGTGAAAAAGAAATTGCAGGTTTAAACCTATGCAGAAATTGTAACTAAATTTGTGTTTTAGGCATTGCTTTTCAAAGTGCCTTTTATATATTAGGAAATGGTAGATTATGTGACCTCAAATAAACAAATTCTGTCTTACTGCATCAATAATGGTTTCTGTTTTAGCCTAGAAATCTAGAATTCTAAAAATACAGAAGAAAATTTAGGAATTATCTGGCTTAGCTACATTATTTTACAAATGAAGAACCGAAGTTCAGAGAGTTATGGGACTTGCTGAAGGTCATATAGAAAATTACTACTAAAGCCTTTGAAACTGCATTTGCTCTGTTTTCTCCAGCGTTTTTGGAAGCTTATGAATCAGTGAGCAAGCCAACTACCCCATCAGATGGCCACACTACGGCACCTGGCATATGGAATCTCCTCAGGATCCTAACCCTTGTTACTAGAGCTAAATTTAAGATGAAAGACAAATGAAAAATAAAATGTCTTGGAGACGAGACTTTTCAGAAAGTGAATGAAACAAGGGAATATTTAAAAATGGCCTGTAAAATGTGCAACTAGCCTAACCTAACCTAACCGACCTATCTGAAGTTTTCTGAACCGTGGGATACTGAGTGGTGCAGTGGAAAAAGGATGTGGAAGCCTGATTTGTTTTAGAATGCTTGCTTTGTCAATTATTGGCCATGTGAGCTTAATGAAGCGATCTTGCCTCTCAGAAACAACCACTTGCAGGTTACTTAGGGGAGATGCTGAGCAACATACCTCTTGTTTACTGATATTTGTTCTTCTCACCGCTTGGGCTGTGCTCTACCCCACAGTACAATAATCACACAGAGACAGAGGTCAAAATACACCAGTCAAGGAGACCTTGAAGCAAAGTTTGGAGGTCTCTAAATTTGTCATTGTAGAGACCAATTCACATTTCAATACTGGGTCAGAGGTAACACCCTTTTACACTCAAAGAAAGACCACTTACTCCCATTACTTAAAAAAAATAAACTTTCGTTGAATAAGCCTCATAGACAGGATGAGTCCAGGCGAAACATGAAACCTGAAGTAGGTGGGGATGAGTTCCTTGGGCATTCCAGAGTCCATTGCTTCTCTTCACTTTCCTAAACCTCACTCACTCACTCTCCAACCATCTTCTCTATGCTCTTGGTATGGTTTGGCTATATGTCGTCACTGAAATCTCATGTTGAATTGTAATTCTCAGTTAGGAAGGGGCCTGGTGGGAGGTGATTGGTTCATAGGGTTGGACTTCCCCCTTGCTGTTCTCATGATAGTGAGTGAGTTCTCACAAGATCAGGTTGTCTGAAAGTGGGTAGCCCTTCCCCGTTCACTCTCGCCTGCTGCCATGTGAAGATTGTGCCTGCTTCCCTTTTGTCTGCTGCCACTATTGTAAGTTTCCTGAGGCCTTCCCAGTTATGTGTCCTATACAACCATGAGTCAATTAAACCTCTTTTCTTCATAAATTACCCAGTCTCAGGTAGTTCTTTACAGCAGTCTGAAATGGACTAACACAGCTCTCTTCCCCTATCAAAAGTTTATTGACAGGCAGAATACATAACTAAATTCTCTGGTGTTGTCCTATCCTGGGAACATGTGCACTTTAACGGAAGGCTCTGTGTGGAAGGGAACAAATATGAATCATTACAGCTCATCATGGGCCAGCAGGGTCCTAATAGGTGTTAGATTATTTAGTTCTTTAAGTAACTGTGAGGTAGATATATTTATCTCAATTTCTACAGATAAGAAGCAGAAAGGAAATAGAGACAATAGCAAGAAAATATATATGGATGGGGGCGGGGGATCAAGGAGAGGGGTGAAAATGTGCCCTGCGTGAGCAAATCACATCAACTTTGTAAATTGAATCCTGGAACTCTTTGATCACAATTATGGAGTCACTCTTTGTTGAACATACTATACTGTTGACAGCATTTGTCTTACAGCTGGGCTTTTTCTTCTTCTTCCCTTCCTCCTCCCCCTTCCTCTCCCCCCCTCCCCTTCTTCCTGTCCCTCCCCCTCCTACCTTCCCATACCCCCTCCTCTTCCTCCCTCCTCCCCTTCCCTCCCTCTCCTCCCTTCCCCTTTCTCCTCCCTGCCTTCTTTCCCCTTCTCCCCTCACTCCTCCTCTCCTCCTCTTTCCCCCTTTTCTCTCCTCTTCCCCCTCCTCCCTTCCCCTCTCTCTCTTCCCCACCTCCACTTCACTTTCTTCCCCCTTTCTCTTGTCCCCCTCCTTCCACTTCCCCCTCCCTGCCTCCATTCCCCTCCTCTTCCCTCTCCCTCTTCCCCTACCTTCCCTTGTCCCCCTCCTCCCCCTTCCCTCTCCATCTCCCCCTCTTCCCCCCTTCCTCCATTTCCCTTATGCCCCTCCTTCCCCTTCCTCCTCCCCCTCCTCCCCCTCCTTCTCCTCCTTTTCCTCCTCCTCCTCCTCCTCCTCCTCCTCCCTCCTCTTCTTCTTCTTCTTCTTCTTCATGATAGTGGTCTTGGCTGAGTAATCTCAAGAAAATCAGAGCCCTTCCTTTTTTTCTAAGACCCTTCATTCCTTCTAGTCTAACGTGTTCAAAGTTGGGTATCAAAACTCATAAAAGGAATTTACTTACCAATTTACTGCAGTCAATCCTACTCCTTCTGTCTCCAACTAGTTTTGATCCTTAAATATTCACTATTCTGTTTTTAACTCTCTGTTCTTTCAAATTCTGCTCTCTTGTCTTTCACTGTGGATTCGTGATCTTCTCACACACGTTTTCCTGCAGTTTCATTCCAATAGGAAAACTGACAAGTGCAGGAAGGTGAAAGTCTCTTAAATCAGATGTTTCCAAATGTAATCATGAACATACACTCATCCCTACTCTCTTCCAGGTAAGTTATTATTTTTGCTACTATGGAAATATAAATTACATTCTGATGAACTTACTCAGTTTTCTCTGTGTAAGGAGGCAGATAGGATAGCTTAAGAATTATATTTGATTAGATCTCTATCCATAAAATAATTATAACAGTAATTCAATCGCTCTGTAATTTTAGTAAAGGCAAAGAAAGCAGACTTTTGACTTGAGAAATATGTTTTATCTGTATTTTAATCAAAAATGACATATACAACAATCTACATTTAAAGAAAAACTTGATGTGTTCAAAGTCATACTTAACATTAAAAAGTATTTCTGAATTTTCATAATGCACATAATTGTATATGAATGACATGACAGTTTGCAACCTAAATAAAATTGGGATATAGCCTGCTCAATAAAATTCTCATTCAGAATAACAGATGTCTACACTGAATATATTCACTCAAGAAAAATCATCTTTATTGTACTTGAAGGATTCTGATGATAGAAACAATATTTTATATGATAGCAAACAATTAGCAATACCTGAATTGAGTCATTTTCAATGCATCATTATTGAGCACTTCAGAAAATCTAAGTGTTGGGAGGAAAGAGTTTTTTAACCTCTATCCTTTAGTGAGAAGATGACCATGCAGACATTATTTCATTGATAAGATATTCCTGAATAAATAGAGGATAAGACAAATCTACAATTTTGAAAATAATATTCTGCCATGCCCTTTTCCTTCCTTCCTTCGTTCTTTCCTTCTTTATTCCTTCCCTCCTTCCTCCTTCCTCTCCTCCCTTTTATTTTTTTTAATGCCCTCCTATGGCCGTCCTATAGCCACAGAACTGTTTTATTTCTTTTGTTGCACAAGTAATGAAACTTAAAGATTCCATTAGAGTTATAACAGTTGTGTTTTCTTTCTCATTCTTAGTAGCTGATTTACTTTCAGGGCTAATGTGTTTAGAGTGAATTTGAATATATGGGCGGGTAATGAATGGTAGTAAAAAAAAGTCCATGTTTACACTTCTTCCCTTCTTTTTGTTATGTTTCTACACTAATGTACAGTGTGATAATTAGACAATTATAACTCTATAATCAATTGTATTTGTTTGTTAAATTCTAGTTTGGAGACTTAAGTAGTCTCTGAATGATTTTCGTGCTAACCTGTAGCTCCTCGCTGTTGTTCCAAAACTGTATCTTAGAACCAGGAAGGTATACAGTTTATTTAAAGGCATTGTACTCACCGTCTATCTGTGTTATGATTAGTTGTATAACATCTGTCAAATTCCCTAAAATTTATAAGCTCAGTTTTCTCATTGGTAGAATGGAAGTGATAATGTTATTGGGGAGATTAAATGACATTGTGCGTAAAGGCATTTACCATGGTGTCTATACAAAGAAAGGCCAAGTAAATGTTAGCTCTGCTTCTAAACCTATGCTCCTCAATAGATGCAAAATACCAGACTAAGCTTTTTAATTACTTAAACTTACATAAAAATAACTCTGGGATTCAAGAAAATGGCTGTTTTAAAGTACTCCAGCATAAAATGTGACTATAAAGATATGTATAATATTTTTAAATATATACATTCAGTCCAACATAATCTATTAAATTATCTTGGAAAGTAGACACATATCTAACACTTCTATCATTGTTCAAAACTTTCGTAGACCTTATTCATGCAAAACTCTCCAGAAGCAAATTCGGAGCCATATAAAAAAATCAGCATTATTGTTTTTATTTGACTGAATATCAAGCCTATCTTTGAGGGGTGAAGAAATTCCAATGAGATACTGTATCTCATTTGAAAGACCTTTGTAATTCGTAAGAAATTATGTAGATATGAAATGTTGAGAATGGGAAGTATTAATGGATAAGTATCCTCATTGAGAATATTAACAATTTTGCCACAGGCTCTTAAAGAAATTCTGAAATCCCCTCTGTGTTGTAAGCTCTAGCGGCCCCATCATTGCTTATATAGTCCCCAAAGCACCCATCTGCAGATAAACAGCACCCATCTGAGCATGTAAAAGTTACAAAAATAAAATAAAATTCATTTCTTCTATTGAGTTTACTACTCGTGCTTTTGTCCATTTCTTGCCATATATAAAACGATATTCTATCAAGTAATTTTATTCATGTATATCTTAAGACTGCTAAAGCATGGTCTTCAGTTTGTTTGTCTTTAGAATTAAGTTATTCTGAAGTTGGGTCTGAAATGTTGCCATAGCAAGCCAGTCATGACTTGGGCTGGAGGGCAGCAAATGAGTGTCTTGTATGACTTTTCCCAAGACTGATTTCAATGAAGAGCTGAGGTTGAAGTAAAAATTTTTCAAAATAGGATTAAGTTTGTAATTTGTGGAGTGTATCTAGGTGAGTGCAAATGAGTTATTAACTGAATGGATCGGGGAATACTAGGTGTGGAATGGAAGCCTGGGAAAATGGCATGCAGAACTGATGAGTAGAACCCCTCCAGTTGTGAGGCCTGTTTGAACAGACAGTAAAATCTGATTGGGTAGCTTAAAAATATTGAAATTTAAACAGACCATCCTTAGCTCATTTTGCTAATTGAGAACTTAAGAGAGAACAAAGTTTGATCATATATAGTTTTCCGGTGGGCAGAAATGGATTTTACCACATTAATGTTGGCAGTTGGCTGTGTCTTGATTATCTCTTTGTCAGAAGTCATTTCAAATCCTTTTGCTTTTTATTTGAGGTCGGCAACTCCCTTTTCTAGTCTGTGACTTTGTATGAATTATATTTTCTCTCCATTGACTGGATGTGATACTTATTAATAAAAACTGACTTCTCTTTTCCTCATGCACAGGGACTGTTGGTTAGCAGATCCATTAATGAGCAAATAGGAAAAGATCTAAAGCATTGCATATCATACTTTCTGTATGTCTGTAGATATTCATAGGAACCTTAGAAATGCATAGGTAGCCAATTTTTCCATATCCAGCTTTAAAAAGAAGTATTATATAATATTTTGAAAATGGGTGAAAATATCATTTTTGTCAGGAGAAAATGATGAATATTCTTCAAAATTTTCCACCAAATAATTAAGAGCTTTATTGGAGATATTTCTAGAGCAAGCGTATGCTTCCCAACACAGGCAAATCTATGGGGCAAAGAGGGAGGCAGGAACAGAGCCACGATACTAGAGATGCATGTTGAATATAATGGAGTACAGTCAGGTGCTACTAAAATACTCAGCTTTAAGGTCTGTCAGTGGCTAAGTTACAGTGGATCAAAATTATGAAGTTCTTTAGTGAAATGTGAAATGCTTCTCAATAATCTACTCGATAACTTACAGACTTTCAGACATTTCCTTCTACAGCTTGCAAAAATGGAAGAGTCTGTTGAATATGCATGCATACTACTTGCCATTGTGTGTTTTGATTTATTTCATGATATTCTAGTTTCAGTACTTTAAGAAATACTACATACTGTTTTCATTGTCTGGCAAATACACTTTCAAATGGAAACATTTTTGATCTAGAAAGGAAGGGGCTTGGAATTGATAATAAAATTACAGATACTGTAAATTCTTCTTATTCCAGTCACTCTGTGCCCTTCATATCTTCAGATTCGTTGTATTAGAAGTTAAGTAGGTTTCAGTTAGATTCGAAGAAGACATATTTTAAAGTGTATTATTTAAACGTTGAGTTTTAGGGACTTTATGAATGTTTCAGCTTGGCTTCTGAGAAGTTAGTGTGACATCTTTTCATAAATATAATTGTTACATTGAAAAAGGATCTCTTATTCCAGAGAAGAAGACAGAGAAGAAATCGAGACTGAAGTAAGATATGTCAGGACAGAAGTGCCCTGTTACCAGATCCCAGGAAGTAACATCACCACACCTATCAGAGTGAATGTCATAGATTCCGTTGCCGCTGCACATCCTGCTCCTGTGGTGTCTAAAGTACTGCCACTGTCTGTGTGATGGATTTGCTTTACATCACTGAAGTTCATATCATCTGGCATCCCTGTAGAGGAAAATAAGAAAACACAGGATGACGCATGACCACTTCACCATAATACGTCTAGAACAGCTCTCAAACTCAGTGTGGACAGCGTTGTTTTGGGGTAGCATTTGTTGTGTTCACCTAACTCGAAATGATGAATGTGACACAGGTATTCCTGTTCTACTTAAATTGGAGAGTTCAGCTTCTTGGGTGGAAATTCTCAGAAATGTTACAAGAGCAAAGTGAAAAGATTCCTAGTTTCTGAGAACTTCTGGAATATTTCTCTACCACTGGTAAGAAAGTAAAGACATTTAATTAATTAACATATCCTGAAGCATGGCACCAGTTCTTATTTCAGAGATGTATCAACTTCAGAAACTGAAAACTTTTCCCATGAAAATAAAATCAGGTGAGGGGATATAATCGAATAAAATGTTTTTTAAAGTAGAATTTCTACAGCTCATATTTTATATTAAAGTAGGCATAAGATCTTTTTAAAATTTATTTTTATTTTTACTTAACAAATTTTATATATATTGTTGGGGTATCATGTGATATTTTGACATGTATACCAGGAAGAATGATAAAATCAAGCTGGCTAACATATCCATCACCTCACATCCTTAGCATTTTTCTTGTGGAGAGAACATTTGAAACTTACCTTCTTAGCAATTTGGAAATACACAGTGCATTATTAATGATAGTCCCCATACTGTGCAATGGTCTAAAACACTTCTTCCTCCTGTCTCACTGAAACTTTGTGCCCTCTGCCCATCATCTCCCTTTCTTCCCCACACACATCCCATGGCAATCACCCTTCTGCTTTCCCCTTTTATGACTTTCAACTATTTTAGATGCCACATGTAAGTGAGATCAGGAATATGATCTTTATGGAAATAGTAAATAGCAAAGAATAATAGCAACTAATGTTAAATTATATCTTTCATACACACAACGGCTGTGAGGATGGGGGTGTAGATGTCTATCGACAGATCAAAGAGGTTGTTAATGGGGTGGACTGGAGAATGAAGTTGGGAAAGAGTGTTACATTAAGAAAGAAGTCAGGCAGAGTCATAAACTAAGATCCAGTCGCCTTCTGGTTATTATTTCTGTACATTATAAAACCTGACAAGTTGAGGAAAAGACCAACCCCTAAATTAACTGGGTTGAAAGAATTGCTTTTTAAAGATGTTTGCCTTAGTATGATACACTTAGGGAATTACTGATTCATCACTTATTATCTAGTGCCATCAGTGTTCTGAGACGAAGTGACTGAATTATCTCATGGCGTGCCACTATCAGTCACAATTAACAGATTTAATTCATTGTTACTCCAGCCACAAATATTGACATCGTAATTACAGAGAGATTGAAAAAATAAGCTTCATATAAGGAAAAGTCAATGTTTATGTAATTAGGGGAATATATATATAATTCAAAAGATAAGCTCTGCTGTATTCAGAGATGAGAGCATTAAAACGAAGCAAAGCTCGGCCGATCTGATATATTGATTTTACAGCCCGAGCTCTTACATTATTATTCATTGCTTGGGTGCTTGTTTTGCCCTTCTGTGTCATTAGGCAAGTTGAATAAACTAGTGATTCCTTTTTTTTTTTTTTTCCCTAAATTGGGACTAGAGTGGAGTGTGAATATTTTCATCGTGGCTTTATATTTCTTGTTAAGCTGAACAAGAAGCTATGAGGACTCTAGGCAATTTAAAAACCTTTTTTTTTTTCTAAGCTAATTACATAAATTTGAGCTTTAAAGGATTTGCTTTTCATTTTTAAGCATTGTGAATTTGTGTTTGGATTGGATCCATGAATCAGGTTTTCTTTTGCCATTCTAGCCTATATTTCAGTCATTCATGAGCCAGACACTGGTTTACTTTTAATGGATGCCATCATGGGTGAAAATGTGTAAGTAGAAAGATGTTAAATCTTGTGCCTGCAAGTCAGACAATGGCAGGAGAGCTTTTTGGCCTTCAATCAAATGTCATTATAACATCTTACATTGAGGTATCACTAATAAATGTCGCAGTTCTAAGGAATAAGTATATGAAAGAATTCAAGATCTTCTGGCTGTCATGGCTGTAGTTATGGATCAAATCACAACCTTGCCATCTGTAGAAAGATATTAGCTTGCCAAAAAGTCTAGCTCCATGATTATTTGATGCAATGATTATTTTCATAAAGAAATTTAATTAACCAAGCTTGTAAATTATACCAAAGCTTATAAAGACCTGTAAAAGAAAAAATTAGTTTGGAGATTTATTGTGCTCATACATTAAAGAAAAACAAAGTAATGTTTGAATAATCTTTTATATGCATAATAGCAACATATAAAGGTGTCAATAAATTCATATTTTTGCCCTTGGTGGTTTATGGTCTGATGGGGAAAGAAAGTTGTGTTATTAAAAAATGAAGATAATATTAAAACACAGGTACATGCCTGGTGATTGGTGCTATGAAATATGGTAAAGGAAATGTAACTTGGTCAGGGAGTGCTATGCTAAGGACGTGGTGAAATGTATTAATTTATTTGATAATATCTACAGAGCACTTGCCCTGGCGTCAGGTACAGTTCCAAGTACTTCACAAAAATATTAAGTTATTGAATTTTTACAACAGTACCATAAATTAGGCACTGCTGTTATTACCTGCCTTTGTAGATGAGGAAACTGAGGCACTGGGAATTTAAATGATCACAAGCAGTGGAGCCAGGATCAAATCCAGAAGTCTAGACCCAGTCTGGTCTTTGATCACCCACGGCTGATTCTAGGCACACTGCTTGGCACCAACAAATCAATACTTAAGTTGAGAACACAGAAGATCAATTACGTTATCTACAAAGTACATTAGGAGTGTTTTCTCTCCTTCCTTTCATCGGGGATGGCTGAGTAGGTGCCGCTTTGGGGTATTAATCAAGTAACTGGAAGTATTTAGAGGTAGAATCCATGTGGGCAAGTTAATGATGATAAATCAGAATGTCCTCATGAATCCGAAGGACAGCACCTTCTTTTTGTCATCTATATAGTGGCAGAGAGTGTGGGCATTTTCCTCTATCTCTATTTCCTGTATCTACGTATTCTAAAAATTATCTTAAATAAGGAAAGACGAGTATGTTTAAAAACAATTTGGTCTATTTTTAGTAAAGAAAATTGCATAGGCAAGAATGTATACATTGTTAATTTGCTCTTTCATTTATAAAATCAATAATTCACTGCCAATTCTGTGTCAGGTATTGTCCTGCAGAGTGAATACACAGTGCACACTTACAGGCTTCTCCTCCACACTTAGATGAGTCTTAAAAAAAAATCTACCAGGTGTCTTTTCCAGAATCTGTATAGGGCAGATGGAATGCTGGGAGCAGGACTCTAGATCCTAGAGATCATTATTGGAATACAACACTAAGTTAATCATGAAGTCAAAATAATTTATTTCTTGAAAATACCTGTTTTTAAGGTAGCTATAGTCATGGCACCTCAAAAAACTACCGATTACATTGAACACTTTTAATGAATATTGTTGAATGGATAAATTGAATAATGACTCATTCACACAAGAATAGGATAAGGTTGGTATAATTATTTTTCCTTATTCTAAAGATTAGGAAGTTTGAAAGAATTACTTCCCCTTATTCTAAATATTAGGAACAGGTGCTGAGGAAGTAATTTACTGAAGGCAACATAGCTGTGGCAGAATTCCAGTTGTGCCCATTCAGATGTGGTCCGCATTGATTCCAGAGCCATACTGCTTGCCACTACGCATTCAAAGCATTGAACTTGAGGTCAAATTCTGGCTTTGCCATGGTCTAGCTGGTTGACTTTTGCTGTGACCTGTATTTCTTGGAACTTTCAAATGACAGCATTTTTCAGTGAGAGAGGAGAGTTAATCAAAATATCTTGCTGGCTAAATCATTAGATCGATATTTGAAAAATAAGCTAGAATTTTATCCCATCACATTGTCTAAAGTAAATGTCTCTGGGACCAAGGCTTAAGGATAAATAATGAGAAAGTAAACAAAATACATAGGTCTATATTTTTATGTATATATAGGTGGGCAAAGCCTACAGATTTTAAGTCAGGATCTATAAAGTGAAATTAATAGTTTTGACATCAAACAAAAAAAGAACCTTTGGTACAACAAAAAAACACCACAACAAAATTGAGGACACACAAAGAAAAGTGGAGAAATTTTTGCATTATAGATTGCAGCAAAGGGATCATGTCTTGAAAATTTAAATAGTTCTTATAATCTATATGAAAACTACAAATGTTCCCATAGAAAAAATGGTGAAAGAATAGAACTGGATATTTACAGTTATAAGAGAAAGGGTAAAAAAGGCTTCTTCACTGAACAATACAGAAATACTATCTTAAACACAAAAGGTATCAGCTATCTATGGTCCAGGTGTTAAAAGGAGACCAGAGAAGAGACTGTAACCAGTTGGGCAAGGGTACAGCCCTTCAATAGGGAATTTGCCAAAATATATTAAAAGTGTTTAAAGTGTTTCTTTGCTTAGATTAAGTAATTCCACTTTTATGAAGCAATTCTGTGGGAATAATGAACATGTGCATATATTTATTCACAAAATGTTAATCTATGCATTGTTAATGAAAATTCTAAGCAAATTAAGTGTCAATTGATAGGGAATTGGGTTAAGAAAATTAAGGTTCATTCATTTATTTTAAAACTCTTTAAGGAGTAAATATTAATAGAGAAAAATGTGTTTTGATAGCATTTAGTATATATAAATTTTAATAAAATACATCTATATGTACTTTCATGGTCTTTAGTGTTCTTTTAACTCTAATAGTCTATTGCTGTGTTTCCTTGAGCATAGAGACTCTCTCATGAATTTCTGTTTTGACCTAGCAAGCATTGAGCAATAAGTAGGTGAATGAATAAGTTGATAAATTTAATCCAGAGCAAAAAATAACAAAAAATACAAATATATTTCTCTAACTTAGTTTCTTTTAATATAAAAACAAATATTATATTACAGCAACTTGGAGTATAAA